ATTTCAGGTCAATAAAGTTCAAACAGGCTAAGAAGAGCCATTTAGCTCATATTTTGAGTTAAGGAGCAAATCTGGAAAGAAGTCATAAAATTGCAACAGTGAAGTTTCGATCAATCGAAGGAAGTCCTGATCGATCAAGGAAAGCTACAATCGATCGAGATCAAGGCGGTGCTAGCTCAGTAATCCGGATAAGGCCAAGAAAGTATTTTAATGACACGTCAGCTTCGATTGATGAAGTAAGTATTTGATCAATCAAAGTTCCCTTTGATCGATCGAAGTGACTGCTGGTAGTGTGCTGTCTAATTCCTGAGCATGCCCGGACTCTTCCTACTTTTGTAGCTACGAATTTCCACCAATCAAAGGTAGTATTTCTGACTTATTGCCTATTCAAATAGGCTTGTAATAGATTAATTGATTTTTTTTTTTGTAAAAGGTACCATAAATAGAAATAGTTTCTCTCTTTAGAACTAGGGTTTGTGAATAAAGCAAGAAGGAAGAAGATGATGCCAACCTTGAAGTTAACCCTTGAGGGTTCCGTGGCCACTACAATGAGTGGCTAAATCCTTCTCTTGGGGCTAAAGATAGCCCCTAGGCTTGCTTCCTAAACCTAGTTTTTTTTATATTTTTTGGGATTTTAGTTGTAATTGATGTTTTGACCAAGAATAAATATAGATCTTGTAATTTTTACATAATTTGTATGGATTAATGCTTTCAATTAATCATTTAATTCTATTCATATGTCTATGTATGCTAGAATGAATGTTCATGTGCTTTGATCTAGATTTAATGAAATTAATGCTTGTCTATGTGTGTTGATATTATGCATCTAGTGATGGTCAAGGCATGGTGCTTAATTGATTACTTTTGTGGTTTATTTGATGATTCATACTTATTTCTTGATGGATTGTGCCACTTCCTTAGTTTAATTTTCATGTCATTAGCATAGTTGTAGTGTAATTACTTTAATTTCCTAGAGAGGTGGACAATCCATTCTTGTTGTTTGATGTTCCATACTTATGAGTGCAAGAAATACATTTCTATAGATTTTTGTGTGTGCACTAATTATGGTTTAATTGAATGGTTAATGGTTTCATTTGATAGTTTGTGCTACTTACTAGATTGATTAGACAATCTATGCTTATTTTCTATTCATGCTTAGTTTTCAATTGGTGACACACATACGCATTTTACAACATGAATTTCCCTATTAATTTACAATTGATAGTATTTTGTGAAGTAAAGTTTAGTGGTGAACTCTAAGCCCTAAGACCTTACTCTATTATTACTTTCTCTAATTTCTAGATTGTCGCTTAATTGCATTGTTTTCATTGAACCATTAGTTTAATTAATCAAATCAAACCCTTCTTTTGATCATTCGACCTACTAATCCAACATTGATTACAAAATACACTACCTTTTCCTTGGGACGATCCCTACTCACTCTTGCTATGTTAGTAGTTAGTAGTGGTATTGGCATTTTACAAACTTAAACTTAGCCACATTTCATCACACTTTAAGCTTTGGTTGTCCTTGACAACAAAGGTGCACTCCAAGTTTTGGTGCCATTGCCAGGGATTGAGTAGCCGTATTCAGAATTAATTAGGAATTAGTACTCTTTTGATCTTGTCTTTTATTTATTTTATTTTGGTTACTTGTTGTGTTTGTTCTTGATTAACTAGGTACTTGGAGCCAAGGAAGCAAAGCAAAGGAACTTCAAAGCAAAGAAGCAAGCTAAGCTAAGCAAAGCATAAAAAGCTAAAATAAAAAAAAAAAAATTGTAAAGCAAAGCAAGGCAAAAGTTATAAATTATTTGAAGTGCTTAAAAACCTTTTGTAAGCTTTCCTAACTCTCTTTACTTAGTTAAATCATCGGCCTGCATGGAGGCAATTTATTTCTTACATTTGTTGAAAGCATGGGAGTATGGGATCAATGTATGTGGATGATTGTTGTTAATTGACTTGTTGCAGAGGAGAAGTGTTTACTACTTGCTATTTGTTGAGTTATTGCTTGTTTTGATTGTCCATGCATAGTCGTAGGTCTTTGAATCATACTCTTGTCCCATTGAATTTTAATCTTGAATTAATTGTTCGTAATCTTAGGCGAATGGGTAATTCAAGTGACTCTATTTCATCAATGGATCACCATAATGAGGACCATGTTGAGGACCTTAGTCACATTGACCAACAAGACATTCTTCACCCTAATGTGCATCATCAACATGATAACATTTAAGTACCATTAGGCATGCCTAGACTGTTCATTCCGTAACAACAACAAGGCCAAGTTCAAATGGGAATGCCCAGGCCATTTTTTGTACCACCTCCACCTCCCGTTGTTCGAGCAAATCATGGGGCTTATGTAGAGCCACCGGTTGTGAATCCTTCACTTGCTTTGAGAGGCCATTATGTGCTAAATGAGTATAATGCACCAACATGCATTCAACTCCCTCCATTTAGAGCACACCATTATGAGATTAAACCACAAACAATCCAAATGCTTCCCAATTACCATGAATTACCTAATAAAGAACCTTACAAGCATTTGGATGAATTTCTTGAAGTGTGTTCCATCATAAAATACACGGACATGCCGGAAGAAGTTTTGAGGTTAAAACTCTTCCCTTTGACCCTAAAGGACAAAGCTAAATACTGGTTTAACAATTTGAGGCCTTTTTCTATAACTACTTGGGCAGATATGCAACAAAACTTCTTGAAAAAGTACTATCCAATGTCTAAGACCAATGTAATGAGGACTTTGATTCGTGAATTGTAATTGTTCCAATTTTCCCCACTTTTCATTTTCTGAAATTTTCTATTTTTGCAAGGGCATTTTTGTCTTTCTTGTTTTGCGTGCCGGACACCGTGGATTGTGCCGGGTGTGTTTGAGAGTTGGTTAGAGCATTCCATTGAGTTTAGGACTCTTAAGAATGTAACGGTTGCCATTTCGGCATTTTTTCGTTTTGGCCTAAAAGTCCCATGTGAGACCCGCTACCGGAATTATAATGTACCTGGTTTTTATTTGGGGCCATTTGCATTCCATTTATTTTCATAATGTGCTTTATGTGGAGTTTATATAGTTGTGTGCATATATGTTTGTGTGGTAGAAAAAGAAAAGAAAAGTCAAAAGTGGTTTTTTGTGGTGGGACCCACCACCACTTTTTTTTTTGAATTTGGTGGCCAAGAGACCACACTTTGGCCTCATTATCTCTCTCTTCTCCTGGCTCTCTCTCTTTCCCTTCTCTTTTTCTTTTTCTTCTCAAATTTCAAACTTCAATTAATCTCCAACTGTTAGGGGATTTTTGGTGCCGTTTGCTGTAAAACAGAGAGCTCGGCAAGATCTACGCTTTGATACAAACAATTCTTTGTTTAGCCAACATTGAAATTTTGAACCTAGGGATTGGATTTGGGGGTTATCCATCATTTTGAGGTTGGGGTGTTTAATCACAATTTCTTGAATTTTTGTAAATTATCTTGTATATATTGTGTTCTAACATGCCTATCTTGTATGAATTCTTGCAAAAATTGTTTAAATGATGTCTATGAAATTGTGTAAGTATGTGTTAATTAATGTATTATGATAATGCATGCTTATATGATATAAATTCATGTATTATATGCTTGCTATGCTTGAATTATTGTTAAATGAAAGCATGATATCTTGAATTTCATGTAAAGCATGCTAAGTAGTTTAAACGTGAATTAAATGTGTAATTATGAGTATTGACATGGCATGAAATGGCATGATGTATTCATGTATAAGCATTGGGAAAAAAATGGGGATTGATGTTTTAAAAGAAATGAAATAGGCTTTTTGGGAAAAGTTTTAAAAAAGGTTTTGTGAAAAACCTAGCCGCCTAGGAGTTGCCTAGGGACCGCGGTGTTAATGAGGCCTAGAGGAGACTAAGGAGATCGCCTTAGCATGGTTGAGTTACCTGAGCCCCAAATGATGCCATGGAGTTGCCATGGGTCTAGGACAGTTAGCCAATCCTCTTCTCATGCTGCCATAGAGTTGCCATAGGACGGGTTTCACTAATGGTTTGGAAATGATGACGAAAATGGTTTTAGAAAAATAGGGAGCGACATTGCATGACATTACATTCCATTTCACGGCATGACTTGTTTATCATTACAGTGTGTTGTTGATATTGTTGTATTTATCCCCAAGCATGATCCCTCTTCCTTGTTCCTATTCATTGTATGAATTCATGGGGTCTCAAAAGGTGTGCCTTAGGCACCTCCTACTAGCAATTTGTTCACCCCTTATATTAACAATTTTCATGTCTCGAAAAGGAGGTGGCGGATGATAATCCACCACAAGAATGAAAGGACTAACAGGGTGTTTTGTATTTTAAGCCCATTTAATTTGTAAAGCAACATTTTGAAATGTATTAAGTTTGCTTAGCATGGCTTTGTAATCTAAATACAAGCCTTTGATCCTATTTTAATGTAAATTTGGAAAAAAAATGTCAAGACTTTTGTTATTTCTTAGTTGAATAGGGTAAATGAAGTTGTTTTGTATCTCATTATTAATGCACATAACCATGGTATGTTGTTCGTAATTTGTAGTGGTTTTAGAACAAGTTTAGGTCTGTTTTCAGCACTTTTGCAAAGGCCATCACTCATTTCCAGGTTCACAGCATTTTCAATTGCAGCACCCAGTTCATAGGGTCATTTTGGTCCACCGAAATGACTGCTTCGGTCAACCGAAACTTCTAGTAGCCACCCCAAATTTTTGGGCCACAACCGATCAACCGGTTTGTCCACTTTGGTCGACTGGAATATGTATTTTGGCCAACCGAAGTGCCATTTCGGCCTACCAAAACGCCAGGCCTCGACTGCTCTTGTTTCATCTTCCTTGGGGCTGTTTTCCCTTACCTCTTTGTAGTTCCTTAGCGCATGTAATGAGCTATAATTGGATGTTGATGGTGTCTTAGCTTGTTGATTGACGATAGTAAAGACTTAGGTGATCTCGGGTTTGGGTAAGGACCCGGTTAACGGTTCAGACTCAGAAGTTTGATTTGTTACATGAATTCTCATTAGGGGATGGGGAAATGTTTCATGAGGCATGGGAATGATTAAATGATATGCTTAGGAAATGTCCACACCATGACATTCCTAAATGGCAATTAGTTCAATACTTCTTTGAAAGTTTATCGGATAACCATAAAGGTATAGTTGATGCCTCTGTGGGTGGTTCTTATCTTGATAGGCATGAAAATGATGTGTGGCGCTTATATGAGAGCACGAGTGAAAACTCAATGCATCGATCTTTATCATTTAAAAATGGTAGAAATACCGGTGGAAGGAAGAATGTAGGTTTGTATCAAGTTGATAATTCTAATGATATAGTCGTCGAAGTTAAGTCTCTATCTCAAAGGTTTGATCAATTTTTTATCAACCAAAATTTGACCCATCAAGTGTCTTCCTCCCCTAATCATACTCATCATCCTTCCAATGAATCTTGCATGACTTTTTCTAATGTTTTGCATTCTACTTCCAATTGTCCTCACGGACATGCGTAAAGTGAACACCATAAACAAGTGAATGCCACTTTTGTTAACCAAGGGAATAATCCCTATGGCACTTACTATAATCCTGGGTGGAGGAACCAGCCAAACTTCTCTTGGAAAAGCCAAGGGGAAGGCTCTAACACTCCCCAAGGTGGTTTCCAAAACAAGTATGTTCCGCCTCCTATGCAAGGCTAAAGTTCCCAAGGTTCATTTTACCAAGCATCGCATGGAAAACAATTTTCAAACTCTTATTTTCCAAACCAATCATCGTACTCTCAAGGTAATTCAAGAAGTCCCACATTTAAAGAGAAAGTTTTATCCGCATTAGGTACTTTGGAGGCAAATACTCAATGGCTTCATTCTCATTCCCAATCGATTGCAAATCTAGAAACCCAAGTCGGGCAAATAGCTAGCACGTTGAATGCTAAGGAAAAAGGGAAAATGCCTTTAAATCCCCCACCGAAGCTACAATTTGTAGTGTAGACCATTTCCTCTTCGGAAGGTCATACACTTGAACATGTGAATATGGTGACCACTTTGAGAAGTGAAAGAGTTGTTGACAACCAAGTTGGTAAATCCAATAAAGAGAGTGAACCGATGCAACCTAAAGTTGACACCCATCTTGTCTCACATCCCATTCCTCCTTCATTAATTGTGAAAGACCCCATTATTGAAAAGGTTTCAAAGAATGATTTTGCAAAAGCTTTTAAGCCTAAAGTTCCATTTTTGGATGCTTTAAAAGCATCCACCTCTCTTGAAATAAAGGCAAATGAAATCATTGATGTGCTTAGGCAAATGAAATCATTGATGTGTTTAGGCAAGTAAAAATCAATCTTCCTCTTTTGGATGCAATTCAACAAATTCCGTCTTATGCCAAATTATTGAAAGATCTTTCCACCCTTAAGAGAAAAAAAAAAAAACCAAGCACCGAGAAAAGTTGTTTTAACCGAACAAGTAAGCTCTATTTTGCAACACAACACCCTCCCAAAATTTAAAGACCCTGGTTCACCGACAACTTCATGCACTATTGGTGATCATGTTATCAATCGGGCTCTTCTTGATTTAGGAGCGAGTGTGAATTTTCTCCCTTATTTGGTTTATGTTCAATTGGGCTTAGGTGATTTAAAACCTACGTCGGTAATTTTACAACTAGCCGACCGATCAATTAAGAAGCCCCGGGGTATCATTGAAGATGTTTTGATTAAAATTGACAAGTTCTTCTTCCCGATCGATTTCGTTGTCATTGACAAGGAGCCGGTCCCAAATCGTAAGAGCTAAATTCCTATTATCCTTCGTCGTCCCTTCTTGACTACCGCTAATGCCAACATCAATTGTGTGAAGATTTCATTTGGTTACATGAAAGTGAAGTTAAACATTTTTAATCCAACCCCAAATTAATGGACAAACATAAAGATATATGTGTTGTTGAAAAATGTTTTGCAAATGAATTTGAAAAAAATGAGTCTATGCTTGGTGTTGAAATATCAAATGTTGTGCCTTCCAAAAAGATTTCAAAAGAAATTGTTTTCAAATCTAGTGTTGAACGGGCATGGAAGCCCAAAAGTTTTGTTAACCAAAGGCCATCAATTTCACTTGAACCAAATCCAACAAGTTCCTTAGGGAATAGTTTGTTGGGTGGAGTTTAAAGTTCTATTCACCCCATCGAGAAGGGGATGTCTACTAAGATCTTTGATCTGGGCTAAAAGGGCCCAATGTCTTGCTAGAGACATTAAAGACTAGTGCTTCGTAGGGTTTGGAAACCCTATTCCTCCCTCATTTCTTGTTTTGATTTTTTTTTTTCTTTGCATCGTCTAGATATGAGTTAAACTGAAAAATCCAATTTCTGGGCAGTTTCTTGCATTTTCTGTACTTCCAGTGAAGGTTCGATCGGTCGAAGATAAGTTCGATTGATCGAAATTCCACTTTGATCGATCGAACCCTGTGAATTTATGGTTTTTCATCTTCCATTTTGATCGATCAAAGCTCATCTTAATCGATTGAAATCCATTTGGATTGATCAAAGTAAGTGTTTGATCGATCGAAAACCCTTCGATCGATCGAAATTGCGTCTTTTGAATTTTTAGAAAATGCTTTGGCTGTTGGCTTTTCCACACCAATCCTAATTTTTAATAACTTTCTCTTTCCTCCCTTATTTTCTTTCTCTTTTCTTTTCTTTCTCTCTCTCTCTATTCCTCCCTCCCAACTTTCTTCGTCTTCTCTGTCTCCCTATTTTCTCTCTCTTCCCTCTTAATCTCAAGTTCTCTCAATCTAAATCTCCCACTCCGGCGAGACGAACCATCCACACCCCACCTTTTTTCTCTCGCCGGCAGAAACCAAACCATAACCCGCCGCCATCCAAGCTCTATTTTTACTAGCAAGGGTATTTGTCCAAAAAGGGGCCAAACCGGCATCTCTATTTCTCTAATCTCTTGGGTTCCCTCTTATTCGTCATCTTCAGCCGATTTAGGCGAAGGAGAAGCCGATCCTGTAATGACCCGGATTTTTTGAATAAATTTTTTCCGTTGTCTTTTCCCTTCTGAGTTTGGTTTCTTGTTGATTAGTGGCATCTCGAGTGCTCTGGAGTGATTTCCAAGACTCTTTTCTTTGGATTGACAACTTCCTTTGAGGACCGAGTCATTTCCATATTTTTCTTTTTTCGACACTATTCATTTTTCGTCCTTTTCCCTATTCCGTCTTTTTCCCTATTTCGTCTTTTCCTCGTTTGTCACTCTGTTTGCGTAACCACACTTCTTGTGTTCAGAGTTGGTTTCTAACTTCACGTATCTTCATTCCCAATGATTTCTATGAGATACGTATCTTTACTTTCGTAAGAAAGTACTTTGATTGCTCCCGGTGTCCATAGAGGCATAAGTGTAAAGTTCTTTGGAAACTTTTCCTTTTCTTGGGGTGTTTTTCATAAATATCTTTTGAAGATATTTTATTTCAGGGGTATCTAAGAAAATATCTTTTTCCAGGGCAATTTTGCAGTTTTCACTTTTTGGAGGGGTCATTGTGCAATTAATGAAAGTTATTGCTCAATGCCTTGTTTTGAGCCTGGATCCTCGTACGGGATTCATTTTCACATTTCGTCGAGTCGTGGACTCTTAGAATTTCCTCCTGGACGATATTTTCCAGTTTCAGGGTTTCTGGCCCCAGTTTGCGCCAAACTTGTTTTGGGCATAACTCTCAATTTTTGACGCCGTTTCTTCCGTTGTTCATATTTTCTCATTTGGAATCTTTTTTGTTCACGGAGTTTTGCCATTTGAGCATGTCTACGTGAATTCCACTTTTCCGGACTCGGCGGGGCCCGTTCGGGGCACTTTTTGAGTTTTTCTATAAATAGGAGGTCTTAGAAAGAAAAATCAGATTTTTCTCTCTCTCTCCTATCTCATGGCCGGTCTAAGCTCCATCCATGGCTGCCATCTACTCTCTCCTCTTTTGGACTTCTTCCCTTCATTAAAAAGTGGTGATGCCTTTGTGTTTATTGTTCCCCTCGGCGAGGCCTACGATTCCAACCGATTGGAATCTCGTTTTGGCCATTTCTTGAGTTCGGGTTTGAAGTCAAGTTGTGTTTTTGATGGGGCTTCCTTGGGATTCATGTTCGTGGTGTCGTCCCCGACAAAACCTAGGAGTTTCGTCGGATTCGGAGCCGATTTATTTTGGTGGGGATTTGAGATTTCATCTCAAATGGAGGTAGAGAATGTTTTAGGCTTTTGTGTGTGTTGTATTGAGTGTTTAGCATGATTATACAACTTATATATATGCCTTGTATCAAATCTAGAAAGTTAATAATTTTTAATTCTTTGCATAAGATTTAAAATTCACGATGATATATAACTTTGTTTTGAATTGTGGCATGGTAGAAAATCTTGTTTTAATATGTTGGTTAACATATATTAAAATTGGATTAATTAAATAAGAATTGCTCTTTTTAATTAATATTTATCTTTTGTGAAAGATTTAAGTTCATGGCCATACCTTGCATGGAATTGAGTTGTATTATGCTTCTAAATTAAGTTTTGGCATGTGTGTTAACATACTTTAATCTGAGAGCATTTGGTTGAGTTTGGAAATCTAGAGACTTTAATTAAGAGTATTAATTAAAATCTATTTTGGTGGTTTCATGGGCCTAATTAAGCTTGTGTGTGAACATATGTAATGACCATGATATGTCTATTAACATATATTAAATTGGGGCCAATTGGAAATGATTTGAAATCTAGAGAGTTTAATTATTTTGATGTAATTAAATTCTATCTTGTGTATCCATGGATCTAATCAGGTTTTAGAAGTTGTTTCTATTTTAAGAGCATGGATTTAGACTTGTGATGTATTCACTAGATTGTGTTATATGCATTAAAGAGCATTGTTGTTAAGTTTATATTCATGAGAGTATGTTTCTAATATGAATATATTGTTGGCCTGTGATTTCATAGCATTATGGATATGAAATGCTTATTATGCACAATTAAGAGTTATATTGCTAAATTTTTACTATGTAATAGTAATATGTATAAGTTATGAACTTATTTGGCTTATTTTGGAATCTTGGAACATTCTTGAGTTGAGATGGCTAGGGTTTGGCTCTAGTACGTGGATGTGA